AATGGAAGTAGGCCAATTAGAAAACTCATTAGGCAGGAAGTAACAACGTTTATTAATAAGTTGGCAAAGAAAAGAAGAAAAGCACAGAAATACAAAAAGTGAAGGAGGAGTTTTAAGAAAAGTGAAATTAAGTAAATCTATAGTTTTAACCCCAAGTCACTGACAAGAAAATGCTTCCAAAAGAATGCTTGAAGCAGAGAGAGGGATGAAGGGAGGAAGGGAAAGAGAGAGAGGGAGAGAGAGGGGGAGAAAAAGAGAAAGCGAGAGCAAGACAGCGGAGAGGAGGAGAGGGAGGAGAAAAGTCAGAAACTGTAGTTTCCTGGCCATGTCAGCCACCTCCTAAAGAAATTTTCCTGCAGGAAATGCACTTGGTATCATTGTGGTATAAACTAATGAATACATTTTAAGATTTTGTGCCATATTAAATACTAAATCAATATTAGTTATTATCAAGACCTCTGTGGTTGGTTAGGTGCCCCCTTCCTTCTATCCTTTTTTTTCCTTCCTTCCTTCCTTCCTTCTCCCTCTCTCCCTTACGTCCTTTTTGTTTTTGTGACATAGAAAGCACATAGTGCAGGCTGGTCTCAAACTCACCATAAAGCCAAGGATGACCTTAAACACCTGAGTATCCTGCTACCAATTCGCAAGTGCTTGGATTATAGGTGTGCCTCCTTATGCCCAGCTAGACACTTTCTCAACATTACTGGAGGATTTTGAATTTGTTAAGAATATGTCTGCAGAGCATTTGTAAATGTGCAGTGTGAGCATTAATGTCTTTTTTGTCTTTTTAATATGAAACTTTGGGTAATTTGTCTTGAGGGAAATAACCCAAAGTGTAGAAAAATATATGATCATTGTAGGAAACTCATAGCAGGAAAAATTCTAAAAACCTAAATTATATATGAGGAAAGAAATGGCTGTCTTGTTATGGTACATTTATAGTATTAGCACAATTTAAATAATTAAATTTATATGCTCAAGAAATTTTGAATGATATGGGGTAATCTTTATGATCCATGCATTATGTAAAAGAATATCAAATATAAATTTTTATTTTGCATGTCCTTAATATTGAAAACTTCACAAAATTAGATGGAGAAAAATAGATCAATACTTTACATTTTAAGTACTTCCCACAATTTGTTCATGTGACAGATATCTAGAAATATCAACATTTTTATATTTAATTTTTTTTTTTTTTTTGGTTGGCTTTTAGAGACACAACTTCCTTTAGGCCAGGCTGGGCTTGAATTAGTGATGTTCTTTTCTCAGCCCTCTGAATGCTGGGATTACAAAGACACCTGGTGGTATTTCATCAAGCCTGAATGCTGGAGTCTTGTGATGGTTTGTATTAATCACCAGCTTGACAAGGTCTAGGCTCAACCGGGAGCCTAGACCAGTGAGGGATTGTCTAGAGAAGGGTCACCCCTGGGAATCCCAGATAGAGGTTGCATGATAGAGTCGATAGAAATGTGGCCCCAGCCTTCCCTGGGACTGTGTTCTAGATGGTCTGCAAAGGGGGAAGTAAGGTAAGCACCAGGCTTCCTTGCTCTCTGCTTTCTGACAATGGGTGTAATATGACCCAGCTCCTGCCACCAGACCCCCCTGACATGATGGATCACACTCTCAAACCTTCCCTGCTCCTACCTTGCCTTTGTCTGGGTATATTTTCTGTCAAAGTAGCAGGAAAAGTAATACTAAGATGGAGAGCTAAATGTCTCTAATTTTCCCACCAACTCTCGGGTCCTGTGCTGGAATGATCTAGAAAATTGCTTTTATACCTGTAACCATGAACTACTTCATGTTTTTGTTAAAGGGTTTTTCTGATAGCAATTTATCTGATAAAAACAACTTTATCTTCTGCTTTATTTTAGGACTTTGGTCTCCCTTCCTTTCCCTTTCACATAACAGAAGAAATCCTGGATTTGGTCCGTATGCAGTGAGTAGTAGAAATGGCTTTCACTAGGCCATTGTTCTTCTGAGAAATGATTCTGAGTAAACAGAAATTAGGTATGCTATTTTAAGATTACAGCAGTATTTCCTAAAATATGGTCCCGACTGGCAGACTTTCTTTGTGTCAGCGATACCTCTGATATTTGTTTTTAAATATAATTATCCTATAGGCTGGTGGCCGTAGCTCAGTAATAGAGGGCAAAGTGGTCTTAGGTTCAATCCCTAAAATTAGAGAAAAGAAGAGAGAGAGAGAGAGAGACAGAGACAGAGACAGAGACAGACAGAGAGGAGAGAAAGAAAGGAGAGAGAGAGAGAATATTTCTGGATAGGCTCCAAAAATTTGTGCTTTTGAAGACATAGTCAGAGAATTATCTAATAAAACTAAAGAGCCAGGGTTGAGGAGATGGCTCAGCAAAGCTTGAGGATCTGAATTCAGATCCCCAGCACCCAAATAAAAGCAGCTGGCGTGGCCACCCATCTGTAAGTGCTGTGCGAGATAGGAAGATCATGGGAACTCACTGGCCAGCCCATGTAGCCTTGTTGGGGCGGGGGCTAAGGTACAAATGAAAGACTCTCAGAAAATAAGGTGACAATCAAAAAAGACCCAACAGAGTCATCAACTTCCACAGTCATGGACCCAATACTCCCACCCCCACAAGCACAAACATGCAAACACCATACACAGACAGAATCAAGTAAATAAATAAATAATGCAGAAGCAGTAGCTGGGGAAGACTTGAGGTTTAGAAATTCCTGCACAGGCTCTTGTCTGATCTAGTGTTTATGAGACAGAACCAGATCATTTTAACTTTTCAGTTGCATGTTCAGGTCAATCAGGCTTGGAGGATGGGGCTGTCTACTGACGGCTTCTCCGTAGTTGAGATTTCAAGTGGAATCCACTGAAGGGGCAATTGGCCGATATAAGGTCGTGGGGAAGGATGGACAGGTTGATTGCATCCAGAATGAGCTGGACAACAGCAGATTCCTCTCCCGGGATGTTCCCTGTGTGCTCTGCTTGCCTTCATCATTGTTCAGCGTAGCGTACCACTTCTGTGTGCAACGTAATTTGCTAATGGCTGTGACCGAAGGCCCAGCAGAAACACCACACTGGAGGAAGGGTTTCCCTTGGTTTATGACTTCAGAGAGTTCAGCCGCGGGGCTGTTCGTGTTTGGGCAAACATCATGGTGGATGGAAAGACGTGGCAGAGGAGACTTCTCAGTGCAAACAGACATCAAGCAGAGAAGGAGCTAGAGAGCAGACATGACCTTCAAAATCATGTTCCTGGGGAACTTCTCCTTTCAGCTAGCCCCAATCTCTAGAGGTTTCCAGAAACTCTCTTTTGTTTTTGTTTTTCGAGACAGGGTTTCTCTATGCAGTTCTGGCTGTCCTGGACTCGCTTTGAAGAACAGGCTGGCCTCGAACTCACAGTGATCTGCCTGCCTCTGCCTCCTGAGTGCTGGGATTAATGGAGTGTGCCACCACACTAACCAAAGCAGTGGCATCACTGGAGATGAAGTATTCAAAACTGGGCCTTTGCCATGGAAGGTTGAGCATTTCATGATCAGATCATTACATGATTGAACAGACCTCCTGAGATAGCTCATCTCATGGCTCTGGAGAGCTACCCTGCTCCTTCCAAGGTATGCTACACAAAAGGAGCACTGCCCATGAAGAAGCTGATATGGACTCAGCTTGCAACTTGATCTCGGATTTTCCTGCCTCAGACTGGTGCTCACTACTTACCTTCGATCAGCTCCTCATTTGATGGTAAGTTTGTTTTTGTATTTATTCCATTCTGTGTGCATGGAGTTGGGGACGGGGCTCCTGTGGAGGACAACTTGTGGGTGTCAGTTCTTTCCATCATGTGTGTCCTGGAGCTGGAACTCAGGTTTCAGCATGATGGCAAGGACCTTTCAAGCTTAGCAGCAGGCACCTTTATGGGCCAAGCCATCTCACAGGCCCCCATTTCACAGCAGTTTACTGTAGCGATCTGAACAGACTGAGATGTTATATGTCTTGACGATTCGAGCAACTTGAAACCTTTTACATCTTTAATGTAAAATGGGAATAACATTAGAACTAGACAGATGGTACAATATTGTATGTAAGACATTTAGCACAGAGTTTGCTCTGAAGTCAGCATTAGACAGGTTTAGAGCGATGGCTTCTCAATGGCTCAACTACACAAGGTTTGTAGACCCTGCTCTTCTAGAATTCCAGAGATTTACAGTAATTCCACATCCCTCTTAGGAGGGATGTGAAGATGGAGCAGAAGAGAGGTGGAAGCAACTTTACTAATCGTCTTCATTTTTATTTTATGTGTCCGAGTGTTTTGCTTATATGTGAATGTAGTGTTGTACCCTGAGCATGCAGTGCCCCAGGAGGTCTGGGACTGGAGGTGGCAACTGTGTGCCACCATGTAGATGCTGAGAACCTACCTCCTCTGGAAGAACAGCCAGCACTCTTCACTACTGAACCACCTTTCTAGCCCCATGACTGAGAGCTTTGATATTAGCTATCCAATGTCATTTATTAAAGTCCACCCATTTCTGGTTGGTTTCAAACTGAATAGAATGATGTGGAGTAGCATTTGCAAAGTTGTGTACACACCTACTCAGTTCCAAAGAGAGGGTGAATTCACATACATATAGATACACAGGACACATGTGCACACCGATGCACAAACAGATACACAGACACAGACAACGCTCCTCCCTGACACCCAGTCCTACACATAGACACACAAACACAGGAACACACACAGGAGTTACACAGTCTTAATCCTGACTACCTCCCCACTACCAAGTTATTTTCGGTTCTAATAAGAATCTCTGAATTTGTGACAGTTAACATTAAGGAATATATTTACCCCTTTCTGACATGGTGGTGAATACTATCTGTATAACATGATTTCTGTCCCCTCTTCAAACTTGCATGGGCCTGTTGATGGACTAATTACTAGTTCAGGAACTTCTCAACTATATGGCAAACACTTACTCCCCAGAAAACAAACACTTAGCTTGAGGCAATGGCCAGGAGCAGCCCTTTATATTATCCAGTTACACAACACACTTCTGGAGTAAATGACGTATCCTAACTTGGGGTACATCACCAGATTCAAGTCAGAGAGGATCCTCTGCCAGTCAATCAAAGTGCGTGTCACTGGAAGATCCCTTCGTAATATTCTTCTCAGGGCTTCATTTGATAACTCCTGTAACTCTTCCATGACAGCAGCTTGAAATTTGTTCTCTTGTTCTTCCACAAGCCTTGCAAAACTGAGAGCCAGCTGGGCTTGGTTGACCACCTCCAAGGTCTCCTTCAGGTCCTTGGAGATTTCTATATGAAGGTTGACACACCTGAAGAAGTGAGCTTGCACAAAAATCCTTCCTGTCACTTGGGTTAGGAACGGGTTTACCTGGAAGATCCACTTGGACTTCCAAAGACCATTCCAGCAATCTCCATTTTCATAGCTGTGGTCTTCAATGCAAGCTATTAAGAATTCCTTATTTTTGACTGTTTTTCTCAGCACGTTGCAATTTCCACTTGGGTAATGATCATTCACGTACAGTTTTAAGGCACACAGAACAACGGCCCTCAGGTACTCGGTCTCATTTCGAATGATTCCGTGGGTTTGTATGTCTCTCAGCTGATTCTGGAGGAGGTCAAACCTGAAAGATAGTTTGCTCTGATAGTCAAAGAACCGGAAGTCACCCATCACGTTGTGGTGAGACAGGAGGACTGGATTGCCATCAATGCAGAGTGGGACGCAGTATTTTTGGCAGTGCTGGTGGCCTGCACACTCTCCCTGCTGGTGCATGAGCTTCTCATCCCGGATAAGCAGACAGAGATCATCAAAGGCATTCACAAATTCCCCAGGAGGAGCCTGGACTAAGAGTCTGCGGATGACTTTTTCTTTCTCTTTCTTACTCAAGACGCTGAGTGCCATGTCTAGTTGCAGCAGAAGCAAAGCTTCTTAAAAGAAGGGTGTTGTTCACAGGGTGAGGAAGTGGTCCATGCGACACCTTGTCCATTCAAGCTGTTAAGCATTCAAGCCTTAGATCAGTATGTCAGAGCATGAAGATGGGCAGTCAGTCATGTTCTTTGTTTCCCAGTGAGGTCACAGAGAAGCATGGAACTTCTAATGATGTCACAGTGAATGCTCGAAACAAAAGAAGAAAATGATAGTCACCTGACGGTGTGGTACTCAGCCAACCAGCTATACCAATTGTGAAGGTTTTAAGAACTTAGCTTCCTGACAAGTCTTCTTCGAAAGTGGTGTGTCCTTCTCTGTGTCTGTTATGTGTTGTCGGCAGTCTAGGGAAGTTTCCTGGGGTTTGTAGTCAGTTTTGAATAGCATGTTGTCTCTTCAGCTGTCATAGGGGACTGATTTCCACTCAGGTCCTTAGAAGAGCTGCCCCACCCTTCTGGGTGAACATTGTGATGAAAGGTTTGAGGGGTTGGAAACAAAATGGGAAAAATAAAATGAGACACAGTGAGGGCTGAGAAATGGCTCAGCCATTAAAGGTGCTTGCTACCAAGCTTGGCAACCAGAATTTAATCCCGAGGACCTACGTGATGGAAGGAGAAAAATGACTCCTAAAAGTTGTCCTCTGATCTCAACACACGTTCTACAAATCACACACACACACACACACACACACGGAAAAAGAAAGAGAGAAAGAGACGGAGAGGGAGAGAGAGAGAAAGAGAGAGAGAAATGGAGTTTATTGGAAATGCCAGTGGTATTGGAAATTCTCAGAACATAAGATGTCAAATGTTTTAAACAGGGACCACATCTTTCATGTTCCCTCTCTGTTTGTGTGTGTGTGTGTGTGTGTGAGAGAGAGAGAGAGAGAGAGAGAGAGAGAGAGAGAATTTGAAAGAGCAATGGCAACATACGATGTGTTCTCTGCCTTTTCCCTAGAAATGAGGCAGTGGTGAGAACAACTGAGGGCAATCCTAAAGAGGCAGAGTCCTTCTAAGATGAATAACACCTTAGGCTGAGAGACCTCTATGGGAGGACACGAGGCGCAGATCATGAAAACATGGAAACGCCGCGGCATCATGAGCACGCAGAAGCAAGATATCCGTTCAGAAGGGTGTTTTGTTTGTTTGTTTTTTGGCCTCATTTCCCCACTTGCTCTTCTTTTCTCCCCTTCACGTGACCCTCACTTTGTTTTAGCATCCTGAACTCAAGAATCTGCTATGAGCGGATGAACATTCTGCTCATTTCCATAGTTCTGAGCTTCTTTGGGTTTTCTTAGGTTCCCGTGTATTCTTGTTGTTGTTACTGTTATAAGAAAATGTACTTTCCCATATTGAGTCATAGCTGTATTAAGTTTAAGAGTTACTCATTAGTTTTAACTGTCTAAAATTGGGCAGGAATTGGCACAACTTTCACCTGTAGTACATTTGACTAGTGTAGTAATTAAATCAGTCACAGTCACTACTGAACACTCAGTAGCCTACGTTTAGTTATGTCTTATGGACTTATTTAATGTGCTGTCATCCATAAGCTTAAGTGTTAGTTTGCTCATCTTTCTGGATGAGGGAGCTATCTGGGTAGGAGGATCTCGGGGTTCAGTAGCTTTCGGGATCAGGCTTTCAGGCAAAGAGGATGTAATAAAGGGTGCAATGAATTTCTCAAGTGCTAACTCTATGTCTCAGGTTTTTAAAATTTGTCCTGCATTTTAACTGGGTTGTGCCTTTTTATATCTTTTACATCTTTACTCTAATGCTCAATAATATTGTTTTCTATAAGTAGAATGTGTTTACAACTGTCTGAGCACAGGATCGATTATTAATATCAAGGGCAAACTGTTTCTTTAAGAATTTTAAATCCTCAGGAAGTGACTCTGAGAATTTCCTTAACTTCCTGTGCTTCATACATGGTTTTTGACAATGATTCAGAATGAATTTAGAGGTGGAAAAATCACCGTTGAAAACACTCACAAATTGCTTGAAAAACTTGGTATTCGGTGCAACTTTGCTCATGTGAAACGCATTTTTAAGGTGAGGTGATACCCTCTTCCTGCCTGCTCACTCTATGAAGCATTTACTGCAGTATAAGTAGACAGTCGTAGATATCTGAGTGTGTCTTTAGACAGTGCTCATGGGCTGGAGAGAGGCTCACTGGCTAAGAGCACTTTCTGCTTTTGTAGAGTATGTGTGTTCAGCTTCCAGCACGCACAGGATGGTCACAAGTGCCTGTAACGCTAGTTCCAGGGACCCAATGCCTTCTTCTGACCTATCTGAAACACACACACACACACACACACACACACACACACACACACACAC